TCAATCTGCACATAATTGACCTCCCAAAAACCAAATCCTGAAAGTTTATAAATGCTGATGACATCTGTCTGGCAACACAACCCCCCTGTTTTGACGCCTCAGACCAGATCCTAAATGAGGGCCTAACACAACTTAGTACTTCAATACATGGCGACTCAAACCAAGCCCCACAAAAACAGAATCCAGTCTATTCCACCTCTACAGCGCACAAACTACAACAAAGCTCAACATTCAGATGAGCAATCTGAAACAGCAGCACCAGCCAAGGTGAAAACAATGAACAATCTGATCTCTGAACTTGGTGAAATATGGGGCGCTGCCACTGCCACCCTCCAGACCTCATCCTGGGCACTGTCTTTCTTAGCAGCAGAATACTGCCCTCACTGTCTGGTCAAGATCATCAATAGGCATCCAGCTGAGTTCTATCATGAGCAACATCACTGGAGCCCTACACTCCACCCCACTCCCCTGACTCCCACCACACATCTGATGACTTGCAATCACCCAGGAAATGCTCACAAAGTTCCGAAATGCTGCTCACTTGCCCCTACATGGGGACATCTTTAATACAAAGTCCACCTGGGCTCAAGAATGGGAATCCCTGGACCTAACAGTCACAGGCCCTATCCAACATCCCCCTGACCTTCTCTTCCCAGGACACTCTGAGTTGCTTCAGGACTGGCCAGGGTCTGTGTCCTGCCAGCCTCTATAGACGAGGAATCGATGTCTGTCTTCTTGTGGGATTTAGCAAACTATGCAGCTTATCCTAGATACCTGCCCACTCCACAGACTCAGTGGAGGTCTACTTACCCTCAACAGAGTGACCAGAATCTATCGCTGGGCTCAGGGACTTTTGATTCACTAAATAACTATAAAATTGTTCTGAATTTACAGTGACAGCTTTACTGACCACATTCAATACTGAATTAATACAAGTTTTCATTTATTTACAAAAAACGTGGTTGTTAATTGGAGATGCTGATGGTATGTATATATATATTCATCAATGTTTTTTTCAGAGCTGTACTTCACCTTGAATAACATCACACATTATTAGAATGATATAATGCACAAATCTAAGCTCACAAAGAATTCCAATAATTTAATTTTTATCAAAAGAATTTATCTTTCGAATGTGATATACCCATTCATTGGGCAATTTATGATGCAATTAATAATGATTAGCTGATTTTTGTGTTGTTTCTAATTGTCAGTTCTAAGGCTTTTCAACCTATAGCTTGCCAAAATATGAATATAAGTATGTACTAATAACTGTATAATTGAACTATATAAAAATCTTTAAATATTTAAAGATTGGCATGAATTACCTAATCAATATGCATATATTTTATTTTTTCTATAGATTCACTCAAGGTGAAGACAGCTATGGTTCAATTAGTCTTATTCCTAAAACAGTGGATTGTCTGCCAGTTCCACATGGATTACTGCACATGATTTGGATTGACTTGAGCCAATAAATGATTAAACACAACCATATTTGCGCAAGCTGATCTTTATTTCTTTCTGTTTTTTCACATTTTATTTTATTGGAAATAACAAGAAGCAAGAAGAAAATGCATTTAGGAATTTTTATTGAGGCATTTGGCATAGAAATCCACTTGACTGAGGACAGACAAATTGAGGAATTTGTAACTTTTTGGGAAGTGATGTCATGGATTATGAGCTAGAGTACCAGGGGAGAAGGAGAACCCATTATCCATTATCCCCTTCCTATCCTTTGTTTCAGACTCTGTTCAAAAACTTTGGCAGATATTATGAGGAAATCTCTGATGACAGAGATTAGATTATGAGATTATCTTTTTGGGGGGTTAAAAGTAGTCACTGATAAAAACATTTTCACCAATAAACTAATAGACATAATTTCCTTTCAATTTAGAATTGCTTTTCAGAATTTTCTAGAATTTATTTTGTCCTGTTCATATTGGGGAAGTTTTTTTTATCATAATGCACACAACAGCAGTGTATTGATCATCCCTTATGAACACAGTATATTGTGAAAACATTCAACTTGTGGTCCTGACACCAGGGTGCTTAACACCTCCCTTTTACGAGACGAAAACCCTTCCCCCTTTAGTTAGGAATGATCCCCAGTGTGGCCACATGCTTTTGTTTTGTTTCTGGCACATGTATCAAATACAGTTGAGATTAAACTGTCTGCCTTGGCATCATCAGCTGGGTCTGTCCTTCACTAGAAGTTTCGTTCCTGAACCCAGTACTGTACTTCTTCAGGATAGTGGGACAGCAGTGATGACACAACTAAATCAGATTGTTTCTCTGGACTATGTCTGGAAACACAAGTCACTTGTCTAGGTCGATCTCCATTGACCAGTCTCTGCTAAAGTGTCTTCGAAGGATACCAGCAGGTCTAGCTCCAGCTAGTGCTGTGCACTTTTCTCCAGCCCTGATAAAGTTAGATCATGCTGGTTGAGGTTTTATACTTTTTCTAAATGTATCCAGGTTCATGGCTAGTGTCCTGAGTACCTTTTGCATGATGCCACCGATACCTGCCTTGCCCTAGTGCCACACTGCAGGCTGATAAAACATGTTCAAGGTTGCCTATTCTTCCACACAGTGTGTAGCAGGGGCTTTCAGTTAGCCCCCATCTATGGAGATTACTTGGAGTGGGTAAGACATCATAGACTGAGTGTAATAGAAACCGAATCCGCAAAGGCTCAAGTTTCCAAATGTCACTCCATGCTAGCTTTGTATCTGTTGTTTCCCATCTAGTCCAAGCTCCCTGTTTTCCCAACTGTATAACTGTAGTTTTCGAACTACGAACCTCTCCTTCCTTCTTTCTTATCTCTTCTTGAATCAAGCTGCTTTCCTTGACTTTCTTTTGATACTTGTAAATTCTAGACCTTGACGACCGACAGTTGGCTCACCAATAATTTTTTGGTACTTCAGTTGGCTTTCTGCAGATTCCACTGCACTTGCTGCATTCCATTTCCTGCCTGACCTAGTCTGTATTCTTGCTTTTCTCATCCTTTTATCTTTCGAGTCACGTAAAGCTACCGCAAGTCTGTCTTTTGGCTTTTGACTTTTGAACTCCTCGACCAAGGCTGAAACTGTAACTTTAAGGATCTGCTGTAAAAGCCAAGGCTAGCAAAGCTAGGTGTAACCCCTAGCCAGCAGTGGAGAAAGCTGTTTACCTTCTTCTCCAAAAATTCATAGTGGTTTTTGCAATTTCATAGAGCATTAATGGTCACAGAAGCCTTGGCAATAATTCATATTGATAAAGCCAGACCTCTAACTTGCTTAGTAAACCAGTCCTGTCGATCACCCTCAATCCCTCTTGTGTCTGTACATTTTAAAAGTAGTCTAATAAACAAGAGTCCAATTTAAACTATGTTTTTTACAATTATAATAGCTAATTAAACACAACACACAAACTATAATCTACAAATTACTTATATAAACTGCAAGTTCAAGCATTCTACAGTCCCTTGTCTGCCTGTCCACTTGTCCACTCAAACAAGTATTTAGAACCAACCTTAATTAAATCTAATCAAGAACCAGCTGTTTAGTGAGATGATTCTATTTTCTAATAAAAATTATGTTTGGGAGATTTTTTTTCTTAACCAGATAAGGAATCCAGGGAATAGATCATTCTGTCATATAAAAGTTACAGGCCTTTTCCCTACATTTACCAGCGGTCTCTTCAGTGCTCTAAATACCTGTTAGATTTCAGTTCTCTGTTCTCAAAGAGTAGCTCCAGATTGCTTGACTGCTTCATCTAACAGGTAGTGGAACTCATTCACATTATGGTTAAACTTTGATAAACTGAGCAAGACTTCTTGACTGGCCAGTCTGTGATACCATTGCTATATTTGGTCATCTTATACACAGGGCTCAGCTTATGTGCTTTTCACACTCAAAGAAACAAAATTGTGACTAAACTGGACGGTTATTTCCTATTTTCATCTCCAAGCCCCAGTGAAAGCCATCTTCTAATTGAACTGAATGCTGAACAGAAGATTCAGATTGATTTTATATTAATCAAGTTCTTCCTGAAACTGAACTTGTAGATTTCAGTACTATAAAGAAGATGTTACTGGTCTACCCAAAAACTAAAACAGAGAACCTCTGTTGTCTGTTAAACTGTTTTACAGAGAGAAATCAGCACGCGGACAATTGAAGGTGAGTTTTCTAATAACATTGTGCAAAATGCCATACCTTATTTAGTTCTGTTTGTCTCAGGAGTGTCCCCAAGCCACCCCCTAGTGGCCTAAACCAGTATTAACCCAAATCCAGCTTCTCTTTTACAACGAGAAACACAATATTATGTAAAAATGCTTAAATCAGCCCTTTAAATCATGCTTCTAGACTTGACCATAATATCCCACTTATCCCGTGTTGTTTTAGTACAAAACTGGCCTCTCACAAAAATACAATTAAAGATTGAAAACCACGTACAAATAAAATCGCAATACTGGAAGTTTATAAATAAATTCCCTGAAGGGCAACAAAGGGGACACAATAATGAATGTGATGATTACCTGTTTCAATCAGGAAAAGATAATAAATAAAGGATATAAATAGGTAAATATTGAGTGTCTTCCTTCTCTTATATAAAAGTCGATGTTCAGAATAGACTTTGAAGCTGTACAGATGATTGCATTGAAAGCAATAAAATTTAAAACCTTAATGAACTCTCTCCAATGAGATGTCATAAAATATTCTCCTGGAACTAATAACCTCAGTACTGTAGGAGTGTTTATGATTAGGTATTATATGGCATTTTCAATATTTTGAACATTAATGTTAATGTAAAATGAGGAGATAACATTTACTGTAATATGTGCAGTATTAATGATTTCTCAATATTTCAGTCATTTGGCCTGGTTTCTTTCCTAAAAGAAATAATTCACAGTATATAAATAATTGTAATAATTTGCCACCAGCAGTAAAATCTACAGTACTGCATTTGTTAGCATTTATAACACCTAGTCTTATCACACTCTCATGGTATTGATAAGTGACAAAGAAGTGAATTAAGAGCATGATTCTTCACTATGTTCTCCTTATGTTAAAGCCGTACTTTAACTTTTAAAGGAGCCTGTAACATTTCATATTCAGAAATTTCCTTGTGTTGGGTTGCATTGGCACACTTTCAGGGATAGTAGTTCATTACACTTCTCAGTATAGGAGCCTCACTAGATACTCAAGTAAGATACAGGACAGAGGGCTTGTAAGATTCTGATGCAGTGAGTCAAGGGGATGATTTGAGTTTATTGGGAGTAGTTAATACATAGGTGCATGATTCCAGATTCCTGAAGGTTTTCATTGAATGTGTCTCTAAATCATCTACAGTAAAGACTTATGGAAAATGTTAAACTGGTCCAAATAATTTATTAATTAGTTCAATAATGACATTAGAAGCAGATGTGGAATGGAAAACTGCAGACATTGTGGCCCTCCAGGATAAGAGTTGTGCATTATAGATCAATTCTTCATAATTTGCCAGGTAAAATATGATCCCGTGGAAATTCTCTGAAAAAAACAGGACAGAAACATGAATAACTGAAAAGGTATAAATTACTTTCTCCTGGATGTACAGTATGTAAAAGCAACTATTACATGTATGGGAAAAACAGATCGATTTTTGCAAAGAAGTTCTATACTTTGTGATGTCGAAATACAAAAGTTATTAACTAATTAATAAAAATGGCTATAAACAAAATTAGGAAAATTGTATTGTCTAGCTCATTTGATTGATAGCAGCTAATTGACCTGCGAATCTCACCAGTCATAGCTAGAAAGAAACCTGAGTAAAAGATTTGACAACAACCTTATATGGGAAAGACAATGTCTGTTTACTACAATGTTTGTCATTTCCAAACAGATGTGACTGGAAAGCCTTTCCTGAATTAACTGACTTCTTTCTATCTTGTATCTTCGGTTCTTCTAAAAAGAATCATCATACATGTCACAGGAGAATTGTCCAGTTATTCACAGTGTAAAAACAAGGCCACAATGTAAAATTAAATATCAAGCAAAGCCTTATAATCTGGTTTATGATTTTGTATTGTCAACAATGCTTTGATTTTGCTGTGAGAAGGGTACAACCTGTATTCCTAATTGCTAATGGGTTATGAGTTTATAAGAGGCTTTTATAAGACATCATTTTCAATAAAAACTTTTTTAAAATAAAAAACAAACCAAAAAGCAATCTAAATAGTTCACTTTTAACAGCCAAAACATTCATTCACAGTTTATCCCACATGGTGGCAGTGTAGATTTATCATACATTATTATTAGTACCCTCATTCTGTGCAAAGTCAGAACAAAAGACTACGTACAGCAGATGTAGAAATACTCCCTAGAATATTACTTATTTCTGTTGTCTTACATGCAGGTGGGCCATGGAAGTGAATATACTGTACCTTGTGTTCTTTGTTTAATTGTTTGGTAATGAAAAGGACTAAGTTCATTGCTCATCTGAAGGTATAGATAGGTGAAAAGGTCAAAATA